AGGTGAAAAAATCGTAGAGCCTTTTTAGGTAGCTATTGAGGGAGTTTGAGGCGATATCAATATTGGAACTGCTTGCGAAGGGGTGGAAATCGTCTGCATACGAAACAAGGTTTACATTATCGGGAGGTGGCGGTGCATCATGGACATAAAAATTGAAGAGTGTGGGTGATAAAACAGAACCTTGGGGTACGCCACAGTGGATTATTCGATGGGGGGATGTGTGTTCACGGAATGAGGTGGCAGCCTGTCGACCATTAAGGTAATTACTTAGCCAGCGGACTAGACTTCTTGGGAGGGGAGTGTCATGAACGAGTTCCACAAGTGAGCGATGACACACCATGTCGAAAGCCTTAGATAAGTCAAGTGTGGCCAGTACCGTACGTTTAGGGGGGCGATTTTGGTTAAAACCGTCTGAAATGTAAAATTCGAGAGTGGAGAGAGCTGTGGTGGTGGAGTGAAAAGGGCGGAAGCCGTGTTGGTGTTTGGCGTTGAGGAGATGTTTGGTAAAGATGGGGTGAACGAGCCTCTCCAGAATTTTAACTGCTGGGCAGAGTAAGGATATAGGTCTGTAAGATGTTGATTGTTTAAGATCCTTATTGGGCTTTGGAAGCGGTGCAATTTTTGAATTTTTCCAAATTTGGGGGATAATGTTTTCGGACAAAGAGATATTAAAAAGGTATGTTAAGTATTGAGTAGCAAGTGGGCCGAGATGTTTAAGATGTATATTACAGAGGCCGTCGGGACCTAGCGCTCGCGATGGTTTGCTGTCTGCAATGGCTTGTTTAGTATTTTCAGGGGTAAAAATTGGGCTGTCTGACAGTGGTAGTTTGGCAATTTTTCTTCTCGTTATACGAAGGAGTTTGTCAGAGGCGTGGGGTCTGGCATTGGTGAATTGTTTGTTAAAAGAGCTGGTAATATCACGAGGTGAGTGTATGGGTTTAGAACCAAAAGTAATGGGGTGTCTTCCTGCCACGGGCTTAGATCCATTTAAGGAGCGTACCACTTTCCAGAACTTTCTGGCACCAGTGCGGTAGTCGCAAGTCCGGAGGAATTCTCGCCATTTATTTTCTTTGTCCTTTGCTGTCTGTTTCATGAGTCTACAGTTCAGTTGGGATATGACTTCTGGGGGGAGATTTTGTTTTCGGCTTAAATCTCTTTCGGCGGCTAGGGCAGTGGACTCGGGGGAAAGAGAGGGAGTGAAGTGGCGAATACGGCCAGCGGGGATGTGGTGGCGTGCTGCCCTGAGCACCAGGTCCCTCAAGAATTTCTCTCCAGCGGCAACTCCGGAAGGTGGAACCGCTGAAAAGAAACCCTCCTCAATTTCCTCTGTGAATTTGATCCAATCTGCTTTTAAAAAATTTACAAAAGTCCTTTTAGGCGAAAAATTTATAAAATCATCCAAGGGTAGTTCTAGAAGAATGGGTAGGTGATCTGATCCTAGAGATTTAATTGGGGTCCATGATGTGGAGAGTAAGAGCGATTGGGATGCGAGGGAAATATCTGGTGACGAGAGTTGGTTTTCTGAGTTAAAAGGGACTCTGGTTTGTGTGTCATCATTTAATGGAGCAAAGGTGGATTCGGTTATTTCATTGCTAAGTACAGAGCCGCGTTGATCTTCCTCGATGTTGGAGTTCCATAGTTGTGAATGTGCGTTGGCATCTCCGAGTACTAAGGCGTCCCCAGGTTCAAGTAGTTCGGCAAGGGACGCAGAGTAACCAGGGGGACAGCTCGAGCGAGGGGGGATGTAGAAATTATAAATACGAAGCTTGGATGAACTGGCTACCACTGATATGCCCATAGCCTCTAGTGTTCCATCGTTGTTAATATTTATTTCTTCGTATTGTATCGACTCATGTATGGCTATGAGAAGACCGCCCCCTTCTTTTTCTCGATCTTTTCTAATTAAAGTGTAGTGTGAGCCAAGTGAGGGGTTTCGAGATTTCTTTCTTAATTTAGTTTCTTGGAAGACAGCAATATGAATTTGATTTTGAGATAAGAAAGCAGCAATTTCGGGTGCTTTTCCGGAGATACCGTTGCAATTAAATTGAAGGATTTTTAAAAGGCCTTTGGCAGGGTGTGGTGAACTATTTACATTATTAACAGCAGTATGATTAAAATGGTTGTTTGAACTTGAGTTATTTACACTATTTACACGATTACGATTTGCGCGATTTTGGGAGGAGGAATTATTATTCGAGGAGGTGGGAAGGGTGGGAGGGGGAGGGGGGTTAGGGAGGTGGGGTTGGGGGGCGGTTAGGGAAGTTGAACAAGTTTGGGAGTTGGGGGTGGTCAAGTTAGAGGACCTGGTGCCTGGGGGAGGTAAAATGTAGGTAGAGGTACAGGTAGGGCAATAGTAGTCAAGGTGGTGTTGGTTAAGGTGGGTAAGACCACTACATTTAAGGTGAATGTAACCACAGATGTGGCACCAGACGCTGGGCTGGGTGCGTTTGATGCGGAAAGAGCAAGGGGAGCAAAAGTAAGGCCCTGGACCAGGGTTTGGATTAATGCCGGAGCGGAGTAGTAGTATAAGGATGAGCAGACGGAGCAGCCTGGCCGGCTTCAGACGCTCCGTAACCGAAAACCCGGAGACTTCGGAGCTTCTCCCGACCCAATGGGAGGGGGGGCTTGACGCCATTTGCATCTTGGTGGGGCCCAAGATGTCGGATCCACCACTGGAAGGCGGTGTCGTCTGGATCCTCGGCGTCGTCTGGATCCTAATAACATTTCGTCTGAAGTCCTTGTATTTTCTAAGAATTTTTGTTGCTAATCGATTCAAAATGATGGCTAATTGAATTTGGGGAAAAATCAGTTGTTTCTATATTTCTGCTTGTAAAAAATCCCACGTTTGGATTTTTTCGTTATCATTTTCCCCGGTTTATTCTGCATAGTTGCACTCGTAGTTTTTATGCTTATTAGATACTGGCCGTGGTGTTTCACCGCATGTTTTCATCAAAATGGGTTTCATTCGAGACATCAATGCAATTTTCAGTTGTTGCTTTTTTGGCGTTTTTTTTATGATCCGGTGGCCTTCTCTATAGCAAGTGATGCGAAGCTGAGCTTCCCCTCTCTGTCAAAATTTGCTGTTTTTTATTCGAATAGTTATGGGGATATAAGTTTTTGTTTTCATTCTTTCTTTCATTTTTGGATAAGAGGATTAGTTTGCTGTTATGAACTGTTTGAAGCGTTTTTACAGATGAAAAATCTTTCAGATGGTTATTTTGAAAAGCTGGCTTGTTTTTGAGTTATCCGGATCAATTTTTATTGTTTTAAGGTCATGAATGAAATGAGACACTTAGTTGATGGTTTCTCGTTTTTTTTTCAGTAAAGTCTCAAAAAGCGTTCACGCTCAAATTTGATTTTCGGGGCTTCACTTAGTTACTTTTCAAATACAATTCAAATGCTTAAAGGAAGGTGAAACACTCTCTGCATTAATAAAAGTGCAAATGGCGACAAAAAACATCATTAACTTGGTATCAAATGCAATTTTTATTTTGATTTCTGTTGGATTGAAAAAATTAACGATTGATCTAGTTTTGTAAAGTTGGGTTGTTTTGTCTACTATGTTTCATCCGTTTAATTAGTCTACCAAGAAAGAATTTTGATCTTTGAAAAACTTCAATGTTTTCATTCATTCAACCAACGGTTAACCTGTTGTCTATGTTTAAGTATTTGCAAGACCGCTTTTCGATTAAAAAAACAATTTGTTCAATTGTATTTACTCCATGTCCGATTGGGATTTACTCGGGATCCTTTATATGTATCGTGATTTTTTGCACTTTATCAGGGGTAAATCATATTCTTTTGGGGAGTTTTATCTCGACAGATTTTGTTGTTTTAGTTGCACTAAAATCGAGAACATTGCGACAGTACCATGCTGTCATTCGAGTTCATTGATCAGGAGATGTTCTGAGATGCTGTGGTCCATTAGCGCTATCAAGTTGGTGGCACAATTTTGCGTTCGCAACATTGTAAGATAAAAAACGAGTTCTGTTTGATTTGGTTCAATGCCTTTGCAGATATAGTTGAGAGTTGGAAGGAATGCTTTCGATCATGATAGAAACGCATACAACACTGCGCACCAATAAGTCGAGTAATTTGATTTTATTCATCAATGATAACGTTTTGTTATTCTTCTAAACTCGGTTAACTAACTAGATGGTTTCGTCAACTATTCTGTTATTTGCGCTAAATTTATTGCTGTCATTGGTTCACCAGGCAAACGTTAGTTCGATCAAATCATCTTAACGCGTTTCTATTTCAAAAACTGTAGTTGAATGATCGGTTACTGATGTATTTCCCTTTTTGTCAAACGGGAGAACTCAAAAATGACTCTTCATTCAACGCACATGTTAAAATGAAAATTTTTAAAAACTGTTTATTTGTATCGAATATAACAGGCCAAGTCTTCGATTCGTGGCTTGAAACATCAGTGGATTTAGCGAGGTCCCCCCTTTGTACTATTTTAGGATCTCCATTTTTGGCTGGCGGACCGTAAATTTTTTCAAAGGGTGACTCGGCGCCAATATATGATAAATTTGAAGGGGAAGCGCGCGCCGAAAACGCAAATTTTTGGTCAAAATTTTCCATAAACTGCCCAAAACGCCATTTTCGGCCTATTTTTTTATTTCGCCTGCGGCACAGAAAATTTGGTCAAAATAGGGTCTCTATAGTGATATGTGAAAGTTCGGAAACTCAATTTGGTCAACCTAAAAAAAAGGTCCATAAAATTTCAAATTTTTTTTTGAAATCCGCCCCCCTCAAGAAAATCCTAGATCCACCCCTGGCTTGAAGTTGCGATTGTACGGTTCATAACCTTAGATCAATGCAGCATGGTCTAGTTTTCCCAATAATTGATATCATAGATTTTCTGTATTTCAAAACGAAGAATTAACTAAAAATCTATGTAATTTTCCAAAAGGTGAAAGCTAGCTGAAAGACATTGCCAGAGTTTTTGTGTTGGCTGCCGTTTTAAAAACAATTTATGTGTTTATGCGGTTTAGGGGAGCAGGTATTTGTCAGATGGGCCGTTGATAGTGGCATATGCTACCGATGATGGGCTGAGTGCGGAGAAGATAGTTGGAGAGGTAAAGGCAGGCGTCAATGTCATCGTCTGGTTCAGCTCCAATCTTATCAAGGACCAAACAACTGGAAAGGTGTAGTCTTCTCTAATTCTTTGCCAATGTACTCCAATTAATTCATAATTATTACGTCCATTTTGGACAATTTGGAGAACAACTTGAAGGAAGAGTATTATATCTAAGTGTCCTATTTCAATGTGCAGCCTACAGGTTGGCAAAATGGTGAGCACCGAGCTCATTTGAACATTTTTCTAGCCTTGTTCGGCTTTCCAATTTGCATTTTATTTTCTATGGGCTGAATTCTTCATAGTCCTTGAGTCACTTTAAAACGACGCAGATATTTCGTTATCCGGTAAGAGTTTGGTCGACCATGCATTAGGAGTTAACGCAGAGTAGAACAAGGGTGGCCAGTTACTGTGTAAGTAGCGCAGAATGTTCTGACCTCAGTGATCTAAGTCAATCAATTGAAAAATAAGCAAAATATGAAAAAGAAAAATCAGATTTTTTTTCGCAATATTCCAATTTTTGTGATATGATGGAATCAATCAGATTCCATGTTGAAAAGAGTTTATTATAGCCAAAATCTATTTAAATCAAAGCAGTCTCAGTAGTATTGGATAGAAATCTCGGTGTCTAATTCAGTAATATTCCACACTAATAGTCCACGACTAAAATTGTCACTACCAAAAAGGTTTTAATATAATCAAAATTTTGACCCCCTGCAAGCTTTTTTTGAGACAATCAGCATCGGGTGTGACCAAAATCCAGCCAGTCCCAACAAAAATGTTTCATTACTAACCAAAACAGAGAAGGTTATTTTTATTGCTATCCAAAGGAGATTTCAAAGTGGTGGTTGTTGTGTTGTGTTTTAGCCAGTGGTGGATATGAGCTGGAATGTGTCTGTGGTGGGGAGAGTGCAGCAGATGTTGGTGGCTTTGGATCTGCCCACAACCCATCTTGCAGGCATAGGGGGCTGGAATGCACCACATCCTGACACATCATTCACAGGCGAACAGTGGTTCCAAGTAAATGGGGACTATCTTGTTGTTTTGAAACCTTGATAAATTATGGTGTTAAAAGATTTCACATCTCATCAAAACTTGAATGATAATCTTTTTTTTTCTATCAAATTGAATGAAGTGTTTGTTTTGTTTGTTCATCCGCTCTTTGAATTTGGATCTCGCTTTTTCATCATGCTATTGATTGTTTTACTTGAGCAAAAAAAATCGTGCAATTCCCCGTTAACAACTTTTCTTACAAACCCGTTAAAAGTTGAAGTTAATTTAGTTTTAGGAGTCACTGAACGTAGTGATTACTCTTATATAGGTCTTGATGGTTTTTACTGTTGATTTTTTTTTTGCGGTTTGAGTTTTTATTTTTTTTAGTTCGTTCATTTTCTTTTTTGAAAGGAAAGAAAGCTCGACTATCGAACAGCAAAAGTGTAAAGGTAACAAAAATTGCGATCTGCCTCTAGTTTCAAGGTGGATTTCCGTTTTCAGATTTCCCAGCGGAAAAAAATTACCTGTTTATCCAGTAGTCTCAAATTTGGTTAAACTTATCAAAGTGCCAATCATAAAATCTTTTTGAAATTCCTAGAATTTCAGGGAATTTTTTCTCTAAAATTCGAAACTTGCGTTCATGAATCTTTTCCAAATGCTTGTCGGATATGTTTAAACCAAATCAATTTTCAGATTCCTTCCCACTTGATATAGAGGTAACGCAGTTGACTTTCTTTGCACCTAAGGTCTGGGGTTTGAGTCACGGCCAAACCTTGTTTTTTTTTTCAGTATACATGAATTTTTTTCGGGAAGAATAGATTTTCGGACTTTTGTTTGTCGGCTCAGTTGCCACATCGCGGATATTTCTGGAGCTGTAAGCAATGTTCTTTGTAGATGCACCTGTACTTGAATTAATTCATACTTACTACGTCCATTTTGGACAATTTGGAGAACAACTTGAAGGAACAGTATTATATCTAAGTGTCCTATTTCAATGTGCAGCCTGCAGGTTGACAAAATGGTGAGCACCGAGCTTATTTGAACTTTTTTTCTAGCCTTGTTTGGCTTTCCAATTTGCATTTTATTTTCTATGGGCTGAATTCTTCATAGTCCTTGAGTCACTTCAAAACGACGCAGATATTTCGTTATCCGGTAAGAGTTTGGTCGACCATGCATTAGGAGTTAACGCAAAGTAGAACAAGGGTGGCCAGTTACTGTGTAAGTAGCGCAGAATGTTCTGACCTCAGTGATCTAAGTCAATCAATTGAAAAATAAGCAAAATATGAAAAAGAAAAATCAGATTTTTTTTCGCAATATTCCAATTTTTGTGATATGATGGAATCAATCATATTCCATGTTGAAAAGAGTTTATTATAGCCAAAATCTATTTAAATCATAGCAGTCTCAGTAGTAGTGGATAGAAATCTCGGTGTCTAATTCAGTAATATTTCACTCTCGCGTTTCAGAAGTCAGTAGTTAGTCCACGACTAAAATTGTCACTACCAAAAAGGTTTTAATATAATAAAAATTTTGACCCCCTGCATGCTTTTTTTGAGACAATCACATCTCATCAAATCTTGAATGATAATCTTTTTTTTTCTATCAAATTGAATGAAGTGTTTGTTTTGTTTGTTCATCCGCTCTTTGAATTTGGATCTCGCTTTTTCATCATGCTATTGATTGTTTTACTTGAGCAAAAAAAATCGTGCAATTCCCCGTTAACAACTTTTCTTACAAACCCGTTAAAAGTTGAAGTTAATTTAGTTTTAGGAGTCACTGAACGTAGTGATTACTCTCATATAGGTCTTGATGGTTTTTACTGTTGATTTTTTTTTTTGCGGTTTGAGTTTTTATTTTTTTTAGTTCGTTCATTTTCTTTTTTGAAAGGAAAGAAAGCTCGACTATCGAACAGCAAAAGTGTAAAGGTAACAAAAATTGCGATCTGCTTCTAGTTTCAAGGTGGATTTCCGTTTTCAGATTTCCCAGCGGAAAAAAATTACCTGTTTATCCAGTAGTCTCAAATTTGGTTAAACTTATCAAAGTGCCAATCATAAAATCTTTTTGAAATTCCTAGAATTTCAGGGAATTTTTTCTCTAAAATTCGAAACTTGCGTTCATGAATCTTTTCCAAATGCTTGTCGGATATGTTTAAACCAAATCAATTTTCAGATTCCTTCCCACTTGATATAGAGGTAACGCGGTTGACTTTCTTTGCACCTAAGGTCTGGGGTTTGAGTCACGGCCAAACCTTGTTTTTTTTTCAGTATACATGAATTTTTTTCGGGAAGAATAGATTTTCGGACTTTTGCTTGTCGGCTCAGTTGCCACATCGCGGATATTTCTGGAGCTGTAAGCAATGTTCTTTGTAGATGCACCTGTACTAGAAGTGTTCTGTAATTTTACTCGCCTTGATTTTCTTTTTTCGTTATTATTATTATTGCCTTAAATTTTAGTTCATCCAAAGTGTTTTTTTTTAAAAAAAAATATTGTAGTGTAAAATTTCGAAGTCTTAAAATTTAATCGGTCAAAACTTTTCCTACCCACGTATTTTTGGCATAATAACTACTCGTGTAAGAACCAAAATCATTTTTCATGCTGTGATTTTTGTTTCTTCACTGTTTTTTCGTTATTTTCCTATTTAAAATTTTCGTCGATTTATTTATTTTGATCTCATAACTAACCTACATTTTATAAGCTAGTCTTCATTTTGGTTGCGCGTTTTATCCGAATTTTGTTTTTATGTTTTATCCGTTTTATCCAAATTTTGGTAGGAAAATCAACTCCAATTTCAGTAAATCAGTTTTTGATTTTATTTTTTCTCCAAGTCATTTTCTTTTGTTTTTCGAGTCATCTGATGAGGAAAAAAATATTTTATCCAGATAATTTGGGAACGGACTTATTCTGTAAATTTTAATCTTTTTTTTTCTGGAAACAATTTCTTTTTTTTTGCTCAGCGTGTCTACATTAGAACTGATAATTTTGCTACCGCGTTTTAACTTTTGTGCCAATGCTATTTTAACACCCAGTTTTTCTATTTGGCTCGTTTTTCATGACAGTAATTTTTTCAAGACAAAATCAAGAAAAAGATCGGAAATTTGTTTGTAAATCTTTTTTAATTTTTTTGGCTTTTACTTTTTGCTGCTTTTGTCTCATTTTTTGTTCGGTCTTTTTTCCTTGGCTTTTATTGTGCTGCAAGTGGAGCAAAGTTTTGCTTAGCTTTTGTGCTGAATTGCTTAATATTTATCCTATTTCATCAACATCTTATTTTTATACCATGTCAACAACGTTTTTTGACCTATAGTTGATTTTTTGTCAGTCTGAATGAAAGATTGTCATCACCTGCATGCTTGAAGTATGGAAACTTGCTTTTTCTAAATGGCGACTGAAGACGTTGATGGTTATTCTGAAATTAGATGAAGTTGACTTTACTAAAACCATTTTTTTACAATCAATTCTGTAAAATTTTTTAAAGTGTAATCAAAATTTTATAATGAAATGTATTAATATCAAGAAATATTTCATATGTTGGATTTTGAATACTCATACTAGCTAGCTTTCGTTAGCATCCATACATCAAATGTATGCCTATTTTGAAAAGTACAAAGAATTTTCGCGATAGAACTCAGTTATCATTTAAAATTCATATGATTTTCAACCGCAAATTTCGTTATCCAAGTTACTTCTTCCTTTTTTTTAATTTTAATTTTGTTTATTTTTTCATGGGACAAATTTGCTCATTGATGCCTGACTGTTCAGAAAAAAATAGATTATTTGCATCGTATCACTGTTGAATGTTAATTTTTCGTGCACATCGATTTTGTAAAGGCAGATAAATTTGTATTACAATGTCCTCTGATTGACCTACCGTTGATAGCTGCACCATCAGCAAATAGAACAAGAATAGCCGGTTTCTGTGCAACTAGCTTAGAATATTCCGATCATTCATAAATAAACAAAATTTGTCTCGTGCGTGTTTTGATAAAAGTAGAAATAATCAACTTTCGTTGTCTTCGAAAAAAAAGAAAAGAAAAAAAAATCCAATAAAAGTTTCAATTTGTGCGTTTGTCTAAAATTTGTCAAAAATTTTCATTTTGCATTTTGTGAATTGTAAGTGGATTCCGCAACAAGGATGCTCCGTTTGTTCTTCTTTTGTTCTTTCATTTTGTTTGATTAATCCGAGAAAATTTTCCAGAATACTTTTTTCCGTTGAAAAAAACTGTTATTGCCAAGGAAGCGCTAAATTAAGCTCGCTGTACCTGCTCGAAATTGTACTAAAACTCAAGTTTTTCAAATGTACTTTTCTCGACAAAGAGAAGTTTTTTAAATACTTTGAAAATACTGTCATAGTATAGATCACTCGATCCATTCTGATGATTTTCGGTGTTAACTGATTCTGGTTGAAGGACCAAATAAACCTGCTCGCTCACTTTGTTCGCTTGAAATTCGACCAAAAATCAAAAACTTCAAACCGGTTGTTCTCTACACTTATAGAATTTTTTGGAACTTTTTAAATGGTCGAATTACAACTGAAAAATTGTTGCTGTGATATGTTAGTCGACTCGTGATGATTATTTCTGGTACCTGATTTTGCCTGAAAAAAACTAGAACGCAGCCGAAGATAAATTTTTCCCTATTTTAAATTTTCTCCCCCTTTTCAGTGGTCGGAACAAAACTTTTAATTTTTTTTGCGAATGCTTGGCAAATTAATGATTTGATTAGAAACATAAATAGCAGTGGGTCACGCACTGACCCCAACATCCCAATTTATCTGCTAGGTGAGTTAAATTCGCCAAATTTATTAAGTTGCGTTTGTTCAAATAAATAGTTTATTTTCTATAGAGAGACAGTCTTCTTATTGCATATGAATCAAACTGAAAAAAAAGAGTACCGATGATTATATGTGTCAAATGCTAAATTTAAAGAGCAATTGATTTTTTTCGAGGCGCTTATTTGAATATTTTTGAAATTTTGAGCCTATGCTTAATTATTGACATTCCATTGCAAAAACCGAGATGTTCCTCGCAAAAAATTGATTATTATCATCCTAATCTGTTATGAATCAGTCTCTCGAACATTTGTCACAGTTTTAAGCAGCAATAATGGTCCTTAGCTTTTTAAAAGTTTAGTAATTTGGCTTCATTATCAAAGGTCAATTTTTTTTCCGAACTGATATATGGCAGGCTCACAATCAGGTCCACAAGATTTGTTATGTTTCTGTTAGGAATGATCAGGATCCTCATGAACGGTTTGGCTGTAGCCAGAATGTCTGGGTACTAGGATGTTAAATCTTAGACTTCGTCTTAGGCTAGAAGATGATACTTCTAGTCTTATAGCTAGCATGGTGATTTAGGCATGATGAATCCTCGACATGGTGAATCCTAGTGTAGTGAATCTTCGGACACGCCATGGAGATTGCAATCACTATAATAAAACGGCTCAAAAAATTGAACAAAAGTTGCCTGATTTTACTTCCATCAATTTCGAACGATTTTAGTCCTTTTTTTGCTCTGTGAATAGCGCCTTTTGTTTCATTTTACTTTACACACCGTTGTAGAATAATTTTCTCACTTATTTTCAATTTAGAAGCAAAACATATTTTAAAATATCTTTTTGAGAATGTTGCTTGCATCCATTTTCATAGGTTTTCAACTAAATCTTGACGAGTTTTCTATCTATCTGACAGTTTTTTTTGTGTAGATCACCATTAAAACTTAATAAGCTCAAAAATACGCATCAGTGACGAATGCGCTGGAGATGCTACTTTGGTCTTTTAGTACAAACTTGATTGTTGTCAGGGAACCGAATTTTTATATCGACTAAAAAGAGATTCTGATCTGATATATCCCAATGCCGTTTTTTTACTACAATTCCAGATCTTGTTCTGAATCGGTTGCGGTAACAGGATCTGGATTGTCTTGTAAAAATGTAAATTCTCAAACGAGTACATATACAATTCCATTAGCTTCCTATATTGCATGGAATTGATAACAATTGATTGATTTTGAGGTTACACTCTATCGCCAATATAGATACCCGTTTACCCCTATCGTATTTATGTCACTATGATACTAGTTTTTAAAAAAAACTTTGAGGCTGGTTGTCAAAGCAATTTGTTGATGACAAATGTTTTTGTTCATCTCATAACAATTCCAACAGCCTCGTCCAAGTTTTGAAAACCTGGTTTTGGTTTTCCTAGAGGACGCCTCCGTCTCCCACGCTCTTTGTACAAGTGGAGGGTAGAATTTAGCAATGTTACATAATCTGTATTATAAAGCCAAGATTCATTTATTAGTTTTCCAATGTGCTTGGAGTCTCTAAATGCATTTTTTTCTATATTCTCTAGTAGTAGTAACACCCATCTTGTGTGCTTTTTTGGCGGTAATTAGATTTGTCATTATTTCACAATTATAAATTGGTTTCTTTTTGTTAGCGTTCAGGTACTCGGTTTGTCCAAAAGTTTGTCTACTTTGATTGATGGCGTTGGTTTTTTTGTGTCAAAGTTAAGAAATTTTGCCATCTTAGTTCAAAGCAAGGAAAGAAATTGTTGCTTTTTTAATTGATTTGGCATGCCTTGATGTTGCAGGATTTCACTTTAATCTGCACACACCCGTCGAAAAATCGCTGATGCCTTACTGAAGATTTTGGGATTAGGGATGACTTTTCGTATAAATTACATTCTTTCGAGCATGATACAATAATGACAAATTTGAATAGCAGTTAGGACGTTTGTGTGTTTGCAGGCATGGGATGAGTGGAATAGAAATCTCCAGGAAGAGTATGCGGACTTCCTGGGCTACGACGGGGTGGACTGGGACCTGGAGGCAAATGATGACATGCAGTACGACACCTTCCCCCCTTCCGTCCTCACTCTAGTCGGCCAAATGAGTCAGGTCAGGTGCTTCTTCAACTGTTGGAAAGAAGTCATTCCACTAAGCATGGATGCCTCTTTTTCCTCCCCTAACCATTCCCCCTCCCCCACTTATATAAACCTCAATTTTACTATTTAAACGATGGCATAACAAAGATGAATTTTATTTTATTTGGAGTAAAAAGTTAGTCCCAAGTTTCACCAAATTTGGACAAGGCTAACCAACGATTTACCAATTAAAACGCATAGTTTGGGGATGGAAAAAGAGACGATTGAAGAAAATGTTATAAACTTTTCTGCTTTACCAGGCAAAACTCGAAAGATTCCTAGTGAGATCGAAGCTTAGCTATGAATCTGTCAGAATTAGCAAATCAATACTTTCTGTACGAATGTCTCAAGACTCACTCGTCGTTTTTTTTGTTACTATTATACAGCATTAACTTATGTGTCATTCAGGTCTAGTTGGTATGACAAACCCCAAATTTTCAGCGGCGCCCGTCAAAGAAAAGGCGATCTATTTGTCGACAATTTAAAAAAAAATCATTTTCATTTTTGGCAAGTTTTTTTTTAATTCCACCTTCGAGAAAACTCTTCCTTGGTCCACGCTTGCATTGAAAAGTATATCTAGTTTTTGTGTTTGTTATACTAAATGCTTCTGGGACGTCTTTTAAATCAGGTTAGTCAAAATGTTCCATTTTGGCAGAAATTGAAGCAGCATGGCTACATAGTGTCTCTTGTGCCGCCCCAGTCCTACTTTGATGTGCAGACCTCCCAGTTCTCCCCCTACGTATACTACCCCCCCGCTGATCCCTGGCACCCGGAGTTCACTTACGCAGGCAGGAATGTCTACGTCTACTGGTGGGTCAAATACGCCACCACACACCTCAATGGTCAGTCCCTACTAATCTGCAATCGATGGAACCAATTTGCAAAATGAGCTAAACTAGCCAAGTTCATATAGCGCCATTCAATGCAAAGAAAGTTAGGGTGATATTTTGAGTCTTTAACTCGTGGGAATTTGTTGTTTTTAATGCGCATAAAAACGTTCTTTTTACTAATGTTCGACACACGTCGAAAGAGCTGAAATTTTCTGTTTAGATAGTTCTCTTGAAGTTCCCACGTTTGATTTTGTCGATGTTCAGTTCTATGAAAGCTACAGTCGATCAGGTTAGTTAAACGTGGGTGTGGTCTATGACATAGTATTGTTTATGTAAGGAAAATCTGACACTGTAAACGCCCTTTTTCTTGTTCTGACATTGAAAATAGGAAGGAACATCGTATTCGGGTGTTTTAGTTTTTTTTTATTTTCGATTTTTCCACGCAAAATCAGGTACCACAAACAATCATCGGACTGGGTTGAGTGAAGTTCATATTAAAGCGCTTTAAGACGTGATTCGAATGAAATTAAAAATTTTTCCCAGTGTCGAGAAAAAATGCTTGAAAGTATTTGAGTTTCAGACATATTTCGAACAAGTAGTGCAATGGAGTAACGATCGTTATTTGCAAATTTACTTTACTTTAGACGTTTAGGCTGAAAAAAACTTCAAGTTACAAGAAATAAAACTAGTTTTAAGTGTAATATTTAATGCTTCGTTAGCAAAAAAAAAATTTTGTAAATTTTAAATTTATACTGCAAAAAATTAGAAAAAAAATTTATATATATATTTTTTCATATTTTGTTCGTCATTTTTAAAATGACAAATGTTGTCGATTATGCGATTATGTCTAATCCGCTAAGTTTCTAAGCGTTTGTATCTCAAATCGTACCCCGCGTTAAAATTGACACTAACGTGTAGAAACGAATCGATTTTTTCTAAATTTTCAGTTTTTTTTTCATGAGTATGGTTGGAATATTCTGAGGTAATTCTCCAGCAACCGGCCATCCTTGTTTCCTTTTTTTTTCGCTCAAAATGTTAAGTAGGTTTAAAATGATTTGGTTAATTTTATATCGGCTTATTCGACTCAGATTACGTCGTTTGAAGGGCGATAACAAACTTCCATTCGTTCGTGTGCTAGGATAATGGAAAATATATTTTTTTCGTCAATGTCCAATTAGTGCTTTGGGGGCACTTTTAAGAGAAGATACAGCATTGGCTTTATAATACCATGTGATTTGACATTTGGTTAATAATAAGTTAACACAGTTGATATTTATTGAATTCATCAAACGAACCGAAAAAAAAGTTATTTACCCGTACCGAACTTTTTGGCCATAATCATATCTGATCATTGTAAAATCATGCAAAATTCATGTCTGTTACAGATGTGCAGCATGTCTATATTCGGCATGCACATACCTGCATCAGACCTGCATCAGGTGTGCTAACTGAAGATATGCTCACACCTGCAGCATGCATGATCATGCCTGAACTGAACATGCTCACACCTGCAGGATACATGATCATACCTGAACTAAACATGCTCACACCTGCAGGATACATGATCATACCTGAACTAAACATGCTCACACCTGCAGGATACATGATCATACCTGAACTAAACATGCTCACACCTGCAGGATACATTATCATACCTGAACTAAACATGCTCACATCTGCAGGATACATGACCATGCCTGAACCGAATATGCTCAAATCGGTATCTTCAGTATTATAAGATTATTAAAGATATGGTTAATTTGTAACAACATCATAAACTCAGCTTGATAATGTGACACTTTACTTCAAATTTTTAGTTTTTTTTTTCAGATTTTTTCTGACATCGGTGAAGTTTTTTGTTGAAAATTGACAGTAGTGGGTAGATGCATCTTTCTGTAATTGCAAGCAGGGAGTCGTTGGTAGCGGGGCGTGTGGATACTTTTCTCTGTTTCCTGTCAACATAAAACTAATTGTTAGTCAAAACTTTTAACTAAATAAAACAAAATTAAATTTGCAAAAATCATACGTTAAAAAGTAGTCGCACATTTGTTGTTATTTTTTTCAATGAGATTAATAGTATCAACCAATCAAATTTCTTTAATTTATTTGCAATTTTTTTGGCTACCGGTTTGCGAAAATTGAACGATTTTTTTATGTTCCGCTCAAAATTTATCAAATTTTTCAAAAATCATGCGTTAAAAAGTAGTCGCACTTTTGTTGTTAATTTATTCAATGAGATTAATAGTATCAACTAATCGAATCTTTTTAATTTATTCGAACTTATTGCGGCTACTGGTTCGCGAAAATTGAAGGAATTTTGGCAAAAAAATTTTGTGACGAATTGCTTTAATTATAGTTCAAACTGGGGATTTTTAGTTTTTTTCGACTATCCCTCCCGTTGCCCCCTGAAACTAACCTGACGTCCTCTTTTTTGGGATGTAGAGACGACATAATTTCCTTCATTTGAAGATGGTTGGCTCGAGGAGGTAAATTTGGATAAACTCATTTCGAACAAAATCTGAAAAAGTGAAATTTTAACAACAAAGACCAATTAGTCAAGATACGCGAAGTAATGTATAAATAAATATGTATTTGTCAAGTTTTCAGTCAGGCGTTATCATGTCTGCGGCAGGCATGAACATGTTTCACTCAGGTCTGATCATGTAAGATCCAGGTACGACCATGTCTGTAGAAAAATACGCATGCTCACTTGTGAACAGCCCTGCATAATGGGGGAACAGTCTTGAGAATTTTCTCTCCCCTGATAAATGGATGATCAGCCGTGAAATGGAACAAAAAGTTCAGTACGGGTAGTTCTTATAGCAAAAAAAAAAAATTAAAGTTCGATTTCAGAATGTTTCCAACTTAATATTTTTGCGAGATTTTTGAAAATCATAATTTATACTCAGTTGGGCTTTATTCTTTCTAATTTTCTGCATTTGAAGTTAGCGTGGATGCCTTTAGCTTTTTACATGCAAAATGTGTTTTTTTTTTAGTTTTGAAGCTCCCTATTGCTGCTTGTCTTTGGTTTATCGAAGCGTCAGTTGCAAAATTGTGTACAGCAATTAACTGGAAGACATGAATGTCCGAGGACTAAGTTAATTACTGTCGAACCATTTGTTTTTCAAAATTGATGTTTTTTTACCCTTAAAGATATTTTATGGCGCCTCGTGTAAATTTTGTCGCTACTTTTCTGCTGATGATTGTTTTGCTCAACACGTTTTTCCTCAAAATTAAGTTCATTCGAAATAGACTTATGAAAATTAGTTTTCATGCTTTTCTGATGTAACGCAAATGGCGCGAAACTCCATTTCGCCTTTGTTTTGTTTTTACAAAAATATATTTTAAAAGTTTAAAAAGCTTAAATTGAAAAAAAAATGACAGCGATTCAGTGGTGCTAAGAAAGTCAACCTGTTCTCTATCGTATCAAACTTTTTCTATCGAAACTGTTTGTGAATAATGGATGAATTTGACAAACACGAGAAAATCGCAGTCGCCATCAGCTTCCGATAAAAGTTTTTTCACGATAGAAGTTGTTTATTTTTTTAATGTCACTGAATCAGATACATAGCTGATGAACTCTGACTTAGCATACAATTATTTAGCCTATGCGGTGGATTGCGAGGGCATGTGTTTCTCAGATTATCTTCTAAATGTGTACCTGAAGAATATTTCGTCCGATTCCTGGAAGGTGAACTTCTCCCAGAATTCCACACTGATTGACCAAATTGTGAAAGTTTCTGTGGCAAAGCAGTTAGTGATCGGCCTGGCAGCCAAGAAATTGAACGATAAGACACTCTATTTGGATCCGAAAGAAGTTCAGTCGGCGTGGGAAGAGTTGCAGGCGGTAGGAATGGACACTCCCAGGGGTCTGATGTTCTGGAACTTAATCCTGGAGCCAGACAATGTGACGGATCCGAGCAACATGGCTTATGGATTCAATCAGATTCTACATGTGCGAGATGACTTCTGATCACTACGCGGAGATGACGAGGAAAAACTACAACGCTATTTGAAGCACGAACAGAATTAAATTTAATATTGATTTTATCATGCTAATTTCTTTACTTGAAACTCAAAATCGGACTCTGCATGCATAGGATTAACGGAAATAACCAAAACATATAACATTTTGAGTATGATTATAACATTGAAGTAGTTGATTATCTGTAACAAAAATATCCGGTCTAATGTAACGCTCAGTAGGTTGTGGACAATTTTAGAATAAACTGTTTAAAAATCTTTCAGCACTGAAAACGGAACCTTTTGTTCCGACTATTAAAAATGGGAGCAACTTTGACTTCTGGAACCTGATCTAAACTACATTTTATGATTGGATAAATTAGATATTTTACCACTGTAAAGTATTTAATATTAACCAATCATGATCCATCTAACTAACAACCCACTTATTTGTAAGTGCTGAAATTACTTGTAATTTCAGCACCAGAGAGATTTGAATTTAACTTAGAAATTAGTTGAGTCTCCAAGAAGACTTCAGCAGCCGCAATAAACCAGTATACCCTAGATCTATTGAGCCTAGCAGAGACTAGTTAAACAACCTGAGACTAGATAGTATAAGAGTAAGATTAGGATCGGTATTAGACTAAGAAGTTGCACGAATCTATCCGGCCGAAAATAAGATAGCGTGACGAGCAGACGGTGTACCCTATCCGAAATTACTCTATGAGTTATACACTTCGGTCCTAACTCATCTGGTGCGACCATAAGTCTCGAACAAGACCTTAATAGTTTAGAATTAACCAAAAATAGATTAGAATTTAGACAAAACATTTTTAAAATGTTACACGACGATAATTTAATCGAAATGTCTCTACGACTCAATAGATCATAGCCAATATTCCGAACGATAAGAGAACTACCCGGAATTGCAAGAAGACCTCGAACCAGAGACGACATACGACAAAGTAGAAACTTACCATATAGTTATATGATAGTTCGGCAAAAGCGAACACAAACTTTTGTATTTAGAATACTACTAGCAATGAATTTAGATTTTCATTTGCAAACATAAAATATTGAAGTCAATCTTCAAAATCATTTCAGGCGCTAAACAAAATTATTAATATACAATAACGATTGATAAAAAGATCTCAGATCGTTTTCCTAAATTCTGCAGTAATATACAAAACATGTTTGAAAAATATTTATTGAAAAATCGAAATAAAAATTAGTAGCATGACAATAAATGGTTAGTAATCATAAATCATCCTGTTGTTCCAGCTTCATCACCTAAACATAACAGCATTCATAAGCTCACTAATATCATAAAAACACTAAATCTTTTCTCTACACAAATTTAAATCATTTTAAACTTAAATTCACTTAAATTTAAAATCAGATCATCAAGGCTCATCCTTGGATCTTAAATCATTTTCTATTTAATTAAATTTAAAACTTGATCATCAAGGCCTATCCTTGGATCAAAAAGAACAATTTTGTTCTCCCCACCCACTTAGCTAGTGTCTAACGACCTCAAACGTCGATTCACTATCCAACCCTTTCTAAAAACCCAGGACTAACAGAAATTTTTGAATGAAACTAATCATTCAAATTAGGATAAACAGTGAAGAACTTCGGTTATTCATCCTTCACTTGATCCCCCCTCTTACCAGACCCAGGATAAATCTTAGACTTAGTAAGTTTAAAATAGTATCTAACGAACTACTCGCGTTCTAATTATACCTGAACCTTGTGGATCGATTTACTATTCTCCAACCCTGAACACAATCACTACCCTTAAGTAAGATTAAGTAAGTTAACACCTTAGCTTATACTAGCCACGAGAAAGTAAAAAATCATTCTTCGGAATCGATATACTTTTCTCCCCAACCCTGAACAAATAGACCCAGGTTAGGCTAACCAAAAAATCGTAAGGACTAACAGTCTAAGAAAATAGAAATCATTTAACAACCTTTTGCATCCGTCATCCTAAACCTTATGTCATTTAAAAACCTAGGAAATAAACAAACAATCGTTTTACACAATTGTGAAATAGATAACAAAAAATACGATCTTGTAATCACACCTCATACACAAACAGTTGGATATATCAGAACAAAACGACAAACATTAAAAAGAAAAATAATAACCAAACAAAGACAAATAACGTGAAAAAGATTTTCCAAAAACCGAAACGCATTTTCAGAATCAGAAACCAGCAGTTTAGACGAACTTTATAAATTAAAAGAATCTATAGATAAAAATTGCCCCATTCACGATCAATTATATTTTTCCGACTCAGAAACAACTTCAAATTCATCAAAAAGAGGAAAAAGAAGAATAAAAAACAATATAAACACAAACCAGTACATTTATACAATTGGAATCAACCAATTAGACACATCGATAGTTACATATTAACAGTCATCAAACGAAAAAATGAGCTCAACACACACCCCAGGTGAAGAAAGTCCAGATGATGATGATATCTTCCCCTTTATCGTAGATGCAACCACAGATAGAGGACAGCACATATTTTGCAAAAATTTACTCTTAAATTTGTTTGAACCCGGAATCAGTCCATGTAAAACAGAGTTCCCAGATGTAAAAATCAAAAGACAAATTATCGATCACTATTTGAAAGATATATGCATCTTAACACAACAATACGGAATCTACTCCATACAATTCAGCTCACCAAACCAGAATCACACCAAATATGTAATTCAAACAGACGACCTTGATTTAGAATTCTCAAAAGTATTCTCAGAATATATAAAAAGCATACAATATCATAACTCACAAAGAGCAAACTCCATATTCACCAATGAAGTTTTTGCAATAATATATAGTTATATCTCGATATTAGAAAACGAAATCCCAATCTCAAATGTCTCACCGACAGAAACATCTAAACATATAAGAGTACGACATGAAATCACACTACTCTCTAGTTTTCTAAATATAATTAAAGAAAATTTCACTAAAGATGATGTTTCACAACATACAAAACATGACTTACAAAAAATCTTGGCATGGTTTATAATAGATTATTTCACACATAATCTAGATTTAATTTCACAAGCAAGAAAAAATTTTAGACCTCAAAACTCAAACGATGATACTGCCATCACAGAACAGTCAGACTATGTTTGGGACCCCGAATGGTCTCATCCCGCATTCATAAACTTCCCACAATCAATCTCAAGTCAAGCAATAAGTACGATATCTTATGTAAGAGATTATGTAAGAGTAATACCATTAACAATTGATGCAACACCATTAAACTATAATACATTTTTACCCGATATGCAAAATAATAGTTTAAACTCCACAATCATACACAATGAAAACCTCAATGGAACTAGAAATCTCACCCAGCAAGATATCCAGACACCATCACACTTCATAAATGAAGAAATCGTACACACAACAACTACACAACAAAGCATTTCACCGATACGTCCAAATTTAACAACACCAAGAAATACAAACCCTTCACAAACACAGGTAACCTTACAATCAACCGTTAAACCTTCGGTTGCCCCAAAATATTCAAACATGGATTATCAGACATACAGACCCATGACAATACCGTCAAAAACACGTAAAACTTTCACTAGAAACAATTTTGCAGAACATAATTATAATTACACACATACATCAAAAACAAATTATCCCCCACGAAAAAATTTTAATAATTATACAAGATCTCGAAACTGGGATAACCCAATAGCACAAACTAATTCAGTAAATTTTCAAACAAATTTACATCCTTCACAGGATCGTAGTGAAAACTATCCATTTTTTCAACAAAATAAAAATAAAAAACAAACATCTTATCAAATGGATTACTTATCCTCAGATGATGATTTTTTACAACCAGATATATTTGCACCATATAATCAAGAATATCGTGGACAAGGAGTACAGAAACCACATACAAATCATAGAATTTTTTCCCCACAACCGATAGATACACAAAATCAACAACCAATTCAGCAACAAATCCCAATTAATACACAATATATTCAACCAATTCAGCAACAAAACCCAATGATCACACACTCGTATCAACCGACGCAAATGCAAAATGAAATACCCCTCCCATATTATCTTCAACAACACGAAATAACAAGAAATCAACTTTCAAATTTTTCTCAAATGCCAAATGCAGCAGAATCATTACAAATGACAATGAATCCATACCTTATGGGTGGATCATCAATAACATCAAATAAACCTTTAATGGTATTCACAGGAACAGACCCTGAATATTCTGTAGAAGACTATTTAAATGCAGTAACAGCAAATTTGATTTTAAATATAGGACCTGAACCAATTAATACGCCACTACATCAAAACTGGATACATCGACGCACAGCGTTGATACAAACAACTTTAGACGGCGCAGCCCAAAAATGGTTTTCAGTATTGCCTCTAGAAATAAAATCAAATTGGAAGAGATTTACACAAGAATTTTCAAAAATGTTTGACTCCGAAAGAAACAAACAACAACAAAGAGTTTTATGTAATGAAATTCGCAGATTACCAAATGAAACCATCAAACAATTAGCAGTACGCATCGAAACACTAGTTCGAAAAGCATATTCATTAAATACACACGACTATAAAAACACAAAAATGACAGAAATCTTAATGATGACCTTAACACCTCAATTAAGGAAAATAGCAATAAAAAAAAGAGCATCCCATCCCTCCTCAATTCGAGAGCCCGATTTAGATTTCCGAAAACTAGTAGACAAACTAGAACAAGCAGAAATCACAATGAAACTCGAAGAAACAGAAAATCTGAAATTACAATACGTTAACCGAATCGAAACAAATACCACAAGTATCAACAATATACAGGAATCAGATACAGACCTCGTTGAAAAAATCACTGAATTACTCAATATTTACGAAAAACACCCAAACTTTAAAGGCAAACCATCTTTCAAAAAATGGTGTAATTATTGCCGACGATACGGACATAGTATTTCTGAATGTAGACAAAAACAGCAAGACAACCAAAATAAACCTCAAAAATATAAAGAACCAAATAAATCATTCTATCAATACATGAAGAAAGATCAAAATCTACCAAACAAAAATGTATACAGCAACAACAGTTCAGGAAAACCACTACCGAGCAATACCAACTACACGAGAAATCAATCACCACATAACTCAAGTTATAGAGGAAGATCGCCAGAACGAAGAAATACACAAA